CAAACATGTGCGATGGACATTACTATGATAAACATTTCTTGGAAATGTAATGAATATGTATGTTAACATAGCATAAATACCTAGTAACTGTGTCTCTTCGGTGCACACGTTTGGAGGAGAGATCCCCCGTGTGCCCGGCGCCGCAATAAAGAATACCTGCTTAATAGTCTGCCGACTATTGAGTCTTCAATTCTGGCTTTTCACGGCATCATAATCCACTTTTCCTGTTCTTTAAAAAAAATAAACTTTTCTTTTCTTAAAAGAAAGAAACAAGCAATCTAAACACTCTTCATATTAAAAATTGGGAAGTAGCAATGATTTTTTTTTTCCCCCTCCTTTGACATGGTTTCCTTCTCTGGCCTCACTTCTCCAAAGACTTACGGCATGCTTAGTTTACAGGTAGCTGCCCTGAAGATCTGCTCCCCAGCATAAGACGTAAGCCCTGACAGCTGCAGCTGTATATCTGAGATCAATCCAGGAGTCGGCTGGGACTTTTTCTGCTCTGTAGGAAAACCACAGCTACGTCTCCCTGCAAGCCTAACCCAGATAGCCTGCAAAGACCTGAGCTAGAAGGTAACAGGAAGAAATCCAAGAAAAAAATTGCTATTAACTGTTTATACTAATTTTTGAGTATTACCCTTCCAAAAAAAATTCTTCCTTTCTATGACTAGTCATGAAATGAATTATAGAGAAAACTGATGCTGCAGGTGCATTAATCTGGTAAACCATTCCCGTATGGAAGAGTACATTCAATCCCATTGTTTATAACAACATTTACATAGGTGCCAAATGCATGTTATTTAATGAATGTTACTGCAGTATAAAATCCTACCAAGTTTTATGTATGTCTGTATGTAAAAACAGGTGTGTGTGAGATAGAGAGATACGTGTTTATAAATTACACACACTATGAAAAATACTTACGGATTATATTACAACTATATACATTCATTAGAAACTGATCAACCCCTGTCAAGGAGACATTGCAGCAGCCAGTATCAGTTCTTCAGCATCCAGGAAATGAATGCTATTTTGTGCCTGAAGAGAAGCAAAATCTTCTCAGTATTCCCTTGCTTCTTGAAATTGCTTGTAGTAGTCTTCGTCTGAAGGGTTTTCTGTACACTTCTGCCCATTGTTTGGAGGCCGTGCTTCATTGTATCGGCTCCAGTCACCTTTGCATATAATCCAAGGCAGAATGTCCACTTTGTAATGGAGTTCTGCTGAGAATTCAATGCTGATCAGGTTTGGTGTACCTGCCCCTTTCCCTCTGGTAATCAGCTGCATATTATCATCATAGCAGCAGTGCTGTGCTGCAAGCGTTGTGCTTTCCAAAGAGAGCATGGAGCGGATGCAGTACCGTGCAGTGGGTTTATAGATCTCCAGTTTTTCCTTTGGACCACTTGCATCTTTCCAGCGAAAGTTTTTCCTCTTAATTCGATCATAGATTTCAGCAGTGCTGTATGCAACTTCTCTGGGGTAGGAGCATGGGCAGCTGGGAAGATCATTGACCACTTTGTGCATATATTTCTTCAAGAACTCACTTTTGCAGCTCATCCATCTTTCACAGCTATCAGTATCTGTTTAAGGGCAGGAAATGGAAACTTAAGATACATTATGCAGCATCCCAGTTCGTATGATCAGTGATAACAAGTGAGTAAAGCATAACTGTTCAGCACCAGTGCTTTGTTTAAGAAAGAATGGGCAGTCAAAGGTTGCCTCCCTGCCTGCAATGTGTTAATGTGCTGTCTTGTCAGATAAAGAAATAACACGTGGGACTGGCTTTAGGGCCTCAGGCAGTGCTAGACTGAATTATAGTGCAGCACCACGCCAGTGAGAATCTGTGACATTTCTTCTACCTGGCAAATTCCAATTAAGTTGCCAGTAACCTCATGCAGCACAGGAGACACAATCACGGGTTTACAAGTGACAGAACTGAAATAGGGAAATCACGGTGATTTGATGCCAGTCTCCAGTTTAAATCCCTAGTCCACACACTCACCTTGTAAGAACAGCAGATTCAGAGGTTGAAGGATGAAGTTTTTCATGGTGCTAGAAATACCAAGATGGCAAGCAAGGCCTGGATTGCCTTTTCTGAAGTTCATTATTAAGCCCTGATTCAGTCTTTCTTTTAACAAATACTTTTTTTTCTATTTGATCTCTATCTTCCCAAAGGGGTAGTTCAAACATGGAGACTGACATCTTAGCTGGTAAATGCAGCCAAAAGTGATTCAGATTCTGAAAGGGCATATGTGACATCATATCAGAGTGTCTGTACATTAGGAAGATTTAACAGCACCAGAACCATGACTTATAGCTGGGATTAAAGAGATTTATAGACTAGTAGCATATTTAATACTGGCACTTCATTATTTTGCAAGAGTCTTGGGAGAATCCAGTTAAACGTCTCCTACCTAAAACATTATTTAAGGTGTCTGTATCATGCTAGGGCTTTCAGAAAAACCCTGCACATCTTGCTCCACACTTACTTAACAGGACTCTGGAGTAAGGCAAAGACTGGGACCTAAAATTCTTACAGCAAACATTCTTGCAAAATATTTACTTAGTGATCTATGTCCTGTTTTTCTATCTCCTTAAAGAGTCCTGGGTGTCATTAACTATTGTGCTTTACCACCATAGGAGGGAGGTGCTGGATTACATTATTTATCCAATTAGTCCAGCATCCAGTGTCTAAGAGTGGCCACACTACAGTTTCACTGAAGGGCACACAGTTGTAAAAGCTATGCATGCTCATAAAAGTCACTGTCATTTTTTTTAACGTGACAACTGTACCTAGAATGCTTTCATAGTATCTTCCATTCGAGGCTATTTCAACAAAATGCTGAACAGTGTTTGATTTTTTTCCCTCCACTAGTATGGAGCCTTACAGATCTTTTCTGAACTAGGACAGAGAACCACCATTTTATAATGAAAGAAGCACAGAACTTTGCTAAGACTTAAGAGAAGAAATATTCTATGACAGAAGCAAGCTAAGGTTCAGATTGTAAACTTAAGCAAGATAATAAATGGCCACCATTACTGACATTTTTAATGGTAAACTCAAAATTTTGGTGCTGCAGCAAGAGTCAAAACAGGAATATCTAAAGAAGTCTCTTATCTATTACTGAAAGATTGACTAGGCTGCTTACCAACTTCAAACAGTTTGGTGGCGTTGAAATCTTCACTTCCTGCAAGTAAGCTCACTTCTGTGGCAGCTGTCCGGAAGGTATCTTCGATCCCTAAGACAAACACATGTCAGTGGTGGTGGTGTTTTCCTATTAAAACACAATGCAATCAGCTGCCTCCCTGCCATCCCCCCATTCCCCAGTTCTGCAAGGTACTTTTGTTTGTCAGGGAAGTAATGTGAAGTTGCAGCTGGAGGGAGTGTTCATTTAAAAGTATAATGACCAAGGAGTCTGTGGTGTTAGGAAGGCAAAGCATTAACTTAGCCCAAAGGTCAAAAGTTTTCAAGTTTTAGAGCTCCTCCTGTTCTCAATGCAAGGCTTGCCAGCATCTCCCAGTAATTCAGGTAGGAGCTTTGCACACACTTCACCAACAGCCACCTGGTCAGCTTTATGTGACCGGCATCTTCTCCAGAGTATGTATCACAAGCGACTGACAAGGTAAAAACAAGTGTTCTAATGGAAGCTCTAAAGCCCTGGGTCTAAATGGTGATGTCTAAAGGAGACAGCCTTTGTGTTGCTTTCTAAAACAGAGCGACATGCCTGAAGACAGGTGACTAAATTCATATCCGTGTGTGAGCAACCATTTTTCAGGAAGCACGAGAAAGAATGATGCTATTACAAGAAGACTGGTGCTTGTTGGTCTCTCCCAGTGCTAGGGAGTTGAAAGGTGTGAGTAGGCGAGAGACAAATAGCCTCTCCAACCAGTCCCATCCCCAATCACCTATAGCAATGAAGTAAAATATCAGGATCTTCCAACAAGCTCCAGTTAAGTGTTTGCTATCAGCAGAGCAAAACACGGATTGCCAGAAAACATATTAATCGATCTTGCCAAAGTAAACATCCTTTCATGGCTGCTCTAGTTTGGCCTACCTACTAGCCTAATGTTTCCCTAATATTTCTGTGCCATGTAGCCTTAAAACAAATGTCTCTTCAAAGAAGCTTTTGAACAGGTTTGGGGTTTTATTTAACCCTCTCCATTGAATTAAAGGCCTCCAAAGAGCACAGAAAGCTCTTTAATATGTGATAACTACACAGTTAATAATGAAGTCTGTTCACCATCCAGCCTCTTGCCAATGAACTTTCTCCTGATCTCCTGAACTGGGGCAGGAGTGGCTTGCAAAGCTTCAAAACAGCCTCAGGCCACTTTTCAATAAAATTATCATAGGGTTTTGCCCGAACTCCAACAGTAGATGTTGAATAACCAAGAACCCATTACAAGGCAGTAATTCACTGCTGGAATGATAAAGAGCAGAAGCTGAGCTTTGCCCTTGTGATTTTGAAAATGTCAGCACAGCCTTAAAGAGTGAATATATTTTGCTTACTGATCATTGGGGGTCTGTTACATGACATACTATATTCTTTCAAGTTTGCCACATTTGATGCTAGCTGGTAATAAATACTGGGAGCTACATGCTTTCTTCTGGAATTAACCCCTTAGCATTGAGGTTTTAGGATGTATGAGAACATCCAGAAACATTTTTCTACTGGACTGCCCAGCAGCCATTACTTTGCAATGGATGCACGCATCTGTCTGCGAGTGAGAAACTTCTCTCCAGCTCGCTCACTAGGGCTCCTAAGTCTTGACTCTTGCACTGATGACATTGCACTTCCCATCAAAACCACCTGTCCTCAGGTTTAAGAATTTCTGCCTTTACGAGTCACTAAGGAAACTCAATGAAATGCATGTATTTTTACTTCTCTCCGATCTTGGGAAGTAATGAAATTGCACATATCCCATGCGTTTTAGCAACTACTGCATCACTGCATTACAAACTTGCCTAAAGCCAAACACACAGCAGCATTTAAAGAACATCATGGGAAAGTCTTCCATATCAGCTTTAAATTCTTATGACGTAGGTTTCAGTGCTCAGCCTGCTTTCACCAAAGCGAAAACTGCATGATGGTAAGGACACCTCTGTTACTGGCATTTGAATGTCAATGCCTGTAGACGGGCAGGAGCTGAGGTAAGGCTCCTTGGCCGTATTTTCTAAATACATTCAGGCCAAAACTGTACATTCCTTCATCCCATTGTGCACAGTTGTTGCAGGACCAAACTTGCTATTTTATAATTCTCCAATTATCGAGCAACATGTAATGAAACAGAGATGACGTTTCCACCTTAAAACTGACTTTCTAGGACAGAATATTTTGTAGCTTAATGCCCAATGAAGCCAAAAATCTCTGGAGAGAAACGCAAAGTAGGTATTTAAAGTATTTTTTTCATATTAATACACATGGAGTCTTAAAGCCACTCTGTATACATTAGGCACAGAACTCAAAAGCCATATAACTAGGGGGGAGCTACTTGTTCAGGACATAGGCATGTCCATTCACTGCACAGCAAAATATGAGCTCACTGAGGTAACAGTCAGCACAGCTGTTTTGAAATTCTAAAATTAATACAAATTTGTTTCAAGACAGTGGATTACACCCTTTGGAATGCAAAGCGTACTGTGCACAAAAATGACCGCCGTAACCTAAAAAAAGCCTGTATTTGTCTTTCAAGTCCCAAGGGATAGTAGACTGCATCTAGCAGCATATTATTACTAGCGAAGAACCTGCCATTTCAAAAATGGCCTTGAAAACCAGTGTGTCTCTTCCCACTGAAACGCCTACCTAGCCAGGGAACAAACAGGCCCTGGGCTTTGTGTGCAGGAGGGCTCTCCTCCCTGGCCTCGAGCACCTCTCCCCACTCCCCTCTGGAGCAGACCACGCGAACAGGATCACACCTGGGCAGCTGGGCCTGTCGCAGGTCCGTGACTCAGTGGCGGTGCAGGCATACCCGCAGGACCGCGTCCGCTTCTGATTGCCGCTCCCACAGGTGACACTACAGAGGGACCACGGGCTCCAGTCTCCTTCACCATCAATATAATCTGTGTGACAAAGATGAGGAAGGAAATGAAGAAACAAAACTACTATTACCCAAAACTACTTTGTGGTGTTTTTTATTAAGAAGGCAACCAAGAATGGAATCCAGATGTCTCTACCTGAAGCCTGGGCTAAATGCCAGGCATAAGCCTGCTGTTTAAATGGTTTTCACACTTGATGCTCTTCAGGGAAATGCGTGCAACATTATTTGAAAAAATATTTCCTTTCTCTTTTGACCTTTTGGCAGCTGAGAATCCTCAGCTGCAAAGCTGGGTCATGAACTAACAGTACACATCTATCCACATAATTTACCTGTATATAGGAATACATTTTCCGACCACAGACTAATCAGGCACAGGATGAATGAAGTTTTCTTTTTCTTCTTTTCAAAACACACAGCAAGAGCACAATATTCATTTAATTAATTTTTAGGACATGATGAATGTTGGAATATGGGAGGCTGAGGGTCATGTGTGAAAACTGCAATTTTGTTTTTCAGTCCCTTGGACACAAAACAGGCATTACAGGAACACTGTCGTGAATATAGTGAACCGCATATGCATCTTGGACCCAGAACAACATGCAATTTGTAGTGTTTCATGTGAATTATGAAATAACATCAAATCTGACTGTTTGCTAGCAGGAACCTTCTGAAAATGAAATACGACTTTATTCTCTTCTAGTAGACAGCCAAGGGCAAACGATACCAAGTCTGCACCACCGTGCCTTGGTGCCACTCTAAGTATCTAAACCCCTTAGAACCAGCCTCCTTTGTTTGCCGAGGCACATCTCACCTTTTGGAGGCCACCAAATGGAGTCCATGAAGCAATTCCAATTTTCTTGCCTCCCCAGCTGAGTGTTATCTCTCACTAGGGAAAGTCTGGCTTAATGGATTTCTCTGCAATCTACAGGAGATGTTTAACTGATCCTGTGATCATAACTTGCAGGATTTGCTCCCCTGGGTTAAACCAGCACTGGTCGCAAAGCAAAATTGGGTTTAGGGACTCTGAGTCAGCCCTGCTCTACAGCTATAGGTTGAACATGTGTGTACAGGCAAGACACAGGGACAGATCCCTGCCTGCACTGGCCTCTGTGCTACACATGATTCCCCCTCACTGCCATGATGTCTGTGGGCTTCCTGAGCTGGTTAGTAGAACACGTAACTTGATTTGTACCATATGTAATGACTGATGACAACTCTGTGGGGTGCTGTTAAACATTTATTGCCAGGAGTATGGGAAGGTTATATATCTCACTCGTAGCAAGCTGTCTAGATGCAAGTTCCTTGTGGCAGGGACCTTGTGTGCTTTTCCTCCTTTTCTTACACTGCTGACGATTGGGAAGCCACCACACTTGAATCAGGTGTCCGTGGTGTGATGTGGGTGGGAACACTGCTACCGTCTGCATGCAAAGACCCACGATTTTGGGATTTGCCAGCATGCGGACACTCCAGCAGTCTGAAGAGGCATAAGACATCTTAGACAAATGTGATCTGCCCTCTCTCCCTGGCCCTGCTCTCCTTCCCAGCTCTTTTCCAACTCTGAATTTTTTTCTCCATGTGGCTGGCAGGGGAGCGGGAGGGTGAGCAGGTGCAATGCTTGTCAAAGAGCCCCATGTGGGAGGGCCAGGAAGGGCAGGCACAGCCTGTGGTGCTTTTTGGCAGGGGCAGGATGAGGGAGATAGAGCCATGTAACGTGTGAATAGGTCAATGGGAGGAACTAGCATACAGGCAGGATCTACTGCTACATCCTCCTGGCCAAGGCCAATGGCACACAATGTTTTAGGTTAGTCAGAGGGCCAGGAGTCTTTTCCAATTAGTAGCGTGCTCTGCTGTACAGCAAAGAGCTCTAGGATAATTTTTAGGCCTACCTACCTAGTTTTTATACTGCACTATGAAACTCACAGTATCTACTATTAGATATATCACATTAGATTTTCAGCTGGAGCTCAACGTATTCTTCCTATTTTTTTATCTGTAATTTTAATTATTTTTTTCTACCACAATTATTTGTGAAAGCAATTTTATTTTACCTAAATGAATGACTACCTAATACATGAATTCTTGGCAATAAAGTGTACCCACAAACAAATGCAGGTGTAAAAAGAAGGAACAGACTTTAATCTTCTGGCCACAAAATTTAATACATATGTATGTATTTAAACACACCTTTCCACAAAAAGTGTCTCTCGATTGTTCAGGCTCTAGGACTTAAAGTTAACCAAAACAGGGGAAAAATAAGACTGAATCAGTGCACAAGAACCACTCTGCAGTATCTAGGGAATGCAACACATGTGCCAGGGTAAAAGTACTGTGACTCTGAAACCCCGCTGTAACTAAAAATCTTCTGTATTTACATACAACGTTAATCTGAGAGGCTCTGAGCTACCTGTGAGCACATACTAGTTCACCTCCCTTGAGTCATTCCCGTGTGGATAGTTACAGCCTGCTGGGGCAGTGAATAACTGTAGCTCCTCTCTGTTTCTAGTTTTCGCAACTGTTTCATACAACAAGCTGAAAACAATTGTTTTTGCCATGACACATCTGGAAGACAATTACACACACAAATACACAATGTTCCTGCTGCATATGCCACTCCCCACACATGCACCAACATAATTCATCTTATTTGTGTATCCACCAAATACTACCACGTTTTAGATCTTTCTCATTTATCCAATAATTACATTTTGGTTCCCAAACCACCGCACGATTCTAAATTTGTACTTATCCTTACTCTAAAAATAAATATGAAACCTTGTTTCCTTTGCTTTTAAAAAAAGTACACTTAGGACTAAAAAAAGGTCCTCTTATGGGATAACTGGTATGATTTTCAAGATTACAGACTTACTAGTGGAATGCAGCTACCACAGTACAGCTTGTGCATCTGCACAGATTTGTATTTGAAAGCTGATGAACAAAAGCCACATGTTGAAAAACTCTATTTCGCTTGGCCTACTTTCAGCGATGCCTCACCATTCTCATTTCCCCCAAACTCGTTTTTACAATCCCAAGATGCCCATAAGAGGCCTGGAACGCAAACTTACCATACTCTGGCTGCTCCTTGGACTTAAATGTCCGGTGACTGGGTGCATGACTATCCCACCCACCAAGAGGGTTTAGGAAGTTGCTGTCCTCCGTAGTGCTGTCATACTTATAGTCCTGGTCACCGCTGCTCATGCGAGTCAAGGTGGAGGACCTCTGCCACCAGTTTCTCCAGTCAGGTGATGAGACTGGCCAGCTAGGCTTGCTGCTTTCTTTCTGCAGATCCTTGTCTGTCTCACTGTCAGGGCCATCCACCACTTCAATGGTAACCTATGGGATTCAAAATACACCAGCCTGTCCGTCAGTATCTCCTAGTCAGTGGGAAACTTTCTGTATAGCAAATACAAACGACCAGTGTTGCCTTGCAAAGGGGCTGTGTAATACTGTAGGGTTCGCATGTTGTACACCATATGCGGATTACTGAGCCCAGAGATATGCAGCAGCTGAGTGATTCCTTCTGCTACCTCTGCTGAATCAGACCTTGGAACAAAGGCTAGGAAAAATCCCACACAAAATAATAACCCATGCTGTGCCTAAAACCTTTGCAAAAGAATTTTCTGCCTTATGGGGAAAAGATGTTTAGACCCGAACATATATGACCAGGAAAAAGAAAACCAAATCCATTACTCTACGCTGAGGCTGAATTTGAGGCAATCATGAAGCATACTAGCATGCAAAGCCTGTTCCAAGGACTTCAGTGGACTCAAGTCAGTCCATGAGTGGGAAGACACAGAACCCAGGGTCCCTTCCAGGCTGGCACCTACCTTGTCCTCTAGCGGCAGCTCAGCCTACCCCCTCGCACGGCCTCCCTGTAGCACCAGTGCTTCCATCACACAACGTTGAGGGCTGTCACCCTTACATGAAACTACACTATGCAGTGATGAGAGCCAGCAGCTTTCAGCCATCACTAAGTCACTTGCTGCTAAGCCCTCTGAAGCAGATCCGCTTTCTGTGCTGCAGAGTATAGTGATACACAACCCGTTTACGGTTTCTACAGAACCCCAGAGCCAAGATTCAAAGTTTGCTGCCCAATTCCCATTCCCCATGAATGTAAATATAATTCTGGATAGGAACAACCCTTGATTACTCCTTTTCTGTGCTGAACAATGTGTAATTATGAAACACTTGGATAAATACTGTGCGTGCATATAGGTGCCTATTTAGGTAGAAATAGGAACTAGCCTTCAGAAACCTTGGCTCTATCAGTCATGCAAGCATAGCATTGCCACAGATAAATCATAAAATGCTCTGATGCTTCATGCTAACATGGTTCAGTGATTACATTGGATTGGCTAAACAGAAAAAGGAAAGGAGAGGAGAGGAGAGGAGGGGAGGGGAGGGGAGGGAAGGGGTTGGTAGAGAAGAGAATGGAGTTCTTGTTTTGCACAAATTTACTTGCTTGTGATTTACAGCTTGGTTATAGTTTAAGAGTATTTTAATATAGTATTTTCTTTTTTTACTTTGTATCTCACTTTTTTCCAAAGACGAGGGGAGGAGAGGAGAGGAGAGGAGAGGAGAGGAGGAGAGGAGGAGAGGAGGAATATTTTCAGTTGGAAGGGACGTACAACAATCATCTAGTCCAGCTGCCTGACCACTTCAGGGCTGACCACAAGTTAAAGAAATGATACTGAAGTGAGTATCAGATATACCTACAATATTTAATAGGTATGGAGGTATTCTTCATGCTGTATAGATTTACAAAGCAGTCTTTCAACACAGTACTCCATGAAAATAGGGTTGTGTAAAACCAGGAAAAACAGAATAATGTACTATTATGCTAAAAGTAATTTACATGGCTCTATGGATTTGCATTTTGGATAAAAGCTTTAGTTTTATATGATTGTTATTAGTCAAATCACAAGATACACACAAGAAAAAGAAAGAAAAGAGGGTCTGTGTTTCTTCAGTTACCTGTGATCCAGAGTAGTGTGATATAGGAAGCAAAACAGAATCGCTGCCATGGCTTTGTAGCTGCAGACACAGCTGCCCAAAGACAATGCCCACATATCCTTTTTTGGAGAAAGGAGATTTTGCATCTATTTCATGCTTTGCATTTGACCACAGACCAAACCACTGAAATGAAACAACTTTGAGGCTACTAAGAAGCTCCGCTGGGAGAAAGAGCAAGAGCAAGGGAAAGTGCAGTTGTCAGCCTAACAACATCTCTACAGAAGAGATATGTTACTCCCAGACTAAATATGGAATTGGAATGATTACTTCATTAAACCTCAGTTTCTACAGACCAAAAGTTAAAATGGATTTCATAAGTTTGAAAACACCAAGTTAGTGATTCAAAATTGTTGCATCCATCCAAGTAAAACAGAGTTTTCACAGCAAGTGAAAGGAAATAGTGATACTGAGCGGCTAACACTGTGCACTGCTGGCCAGCTGCAGGGCTTTAGTACTGCCCCTGTGATAATTAGTATGACTCTAGTACTTTAGCGGCAAGTATTTTTAAGATCATATTAACTTTGTAAGCAATGACTCAGCAAGGTGGGGAACAAAAACATCTCTCATAAAAAAAGACAGGAAGCACTTGATAATCGTTCCATTTGCTCTGGTGATCTGTAGTTACACGATAGTGAGTCAGAATGAACTGGCATTATTTCCGCCAGGTACAGTCTGAAGAACCATAGGGATTTGATTTAAAATACCTATTCAGGATGCCAAGTCAGTTTAAGCAGAAGAGGGTTTGTAGGGACAGAGAAGCTTCTCTTGGGGTATCTGCTACACTGGGGAAGAGATACAGGTGTAATGTACAAACTTGCAGGTTCATGAGACCTCATCAGACCTGCAACAGCACTGCTACTAACTTACTTTCAAGACGTGCCTGTGCAATCAGATATCCCACTTCAGCCTGTGTTTGCTACCAAGGAGGCTTATTACAAAGCCCTTTAAAATGAGTTTTGCAACACATAAGAACTTACCCTGCAACAAAAACCTACTTAGATCTGTCTTAGAGCTAGCTAACATGGAGCGAACTGGGAAGCCACAACCCATCAGGATGACCCAGTGCCCTGCATAGGCACGCTTGTCAGCAGCAGGCAAAATCACATGGTGTTTCTTTCAGTGATACCTGGGCAGGGGGGAAGGAGTTCTTCCAGTCAGTCTCTCTCCTCTCTAGCACGGCTGTAACTCACTTGGCAGTACTACGGTGCTTTGCCATCCACGAGCCAGATAAGAAGTTGAGGCCTGAGACCTTATTCCAGCTATTAATCCCTTTGTCTTAATGAGAAGAGAGGTCTGGGGAGAGGCAGCACCAAGAGAGATCCACCCCAGTGTAAGCAGGATTTTTTAAATAGCCTATTTAAAAAGAAAACATAGCAAAAGCAAAATCCAATGTGGTAGTTTGACATACGCCTATATCCCTTACTTCCCTGTTTTGATTACCAAGTTGTTTATTTCACATGCGGCATAAAAAAACACAGAGTGAAAGAAATTCTATAAAGAATCCTGGGATTATTTGAACTGCCACTCTTGGATGTTAAAAAAGACGACTTGAGTTCACTCTGTTTCTGTTTGTTTTCAGGAACTCAGCTATGCTCTGCCCAGCCTCTAATGCACCTTCCAGAGGCAGGGAGGAAATCTGTGAGTAATCCTAGTAATTCCTCCATGGTATGACCCAAAAGTTAGGGCAGAGGTGTGAGAAGGGGATGCCGCTTCGGGTGAGCAATTGCTCCCCTATCCCAGTCTAAAATGTTGGAAAATCAGCATTCACTGAATTTTTCCCCATACTTAAAGATAGCCTTAACAACATTAGCCCAGGACCACAAAAATACAAATACATATACATGCCACACAAACATGTGTCTTGTTTGATCGGTTTCTATACTGGGGATTGTTTATAAAAAGGAAAAAAGAAACACGATCTAGAACTACAGTCATTAAAAATGGGCATTTAAAGCAGCTCTGGAAAAGCTTTCATGCTCTGTGACTACTCCAACAAAAAAACATTCTCTCAAAAATTAAAAAATAGACCTAGTTTAGTATTTCTATCTTGGATAATATTTTAAAGACTTAATTTTCTCTGATTTCTTCTTCCAGTGATTATCAAAACTATACAGATTATTTGTTTGTCAGGCTTCCCAAAATGTCTGTGGTAACATGGTTCTTGTATAAATCCACAATCATCTCCAGAAGTATTCAAACCTAAAGCGAAACCACTTCTTCTATGGTTGTATGAGCTACAAATAAGGATGTTCCTCTAAAAATTGTGATAAATAATTGGCACAGGTACATTAAAACATCAGACTTGCAGTCAATTTCTAATGAAACAAATGTATCAAGCACAGATGTCTTCAGACACCGACATCCAATTTTCTCCTGGCCAAAAATATACAGAAGATAAATATTATTCCTGCCTGTTGGAGTGCACAAGAAGTTCTGTGTACTTCGTCCTGTTTACCGAGACAGTGTTTCTGAATTCACTTTAATGGTGTAAACATTGCCCTAAGCAACTGGAAGACTGTGTTTCAGGAAGAACTACGTTTGCAATATTGTGCAAGCAGTGGATTCTATGACATTTCTATCCTCTGTTCCCTTCATGCAACCGATGCAACTTTTCAATGCAAAACTTTCCATTCCATAAAGGTGGGTAAGATCAAGTCAGCAATGAGGTAACTATAATAGCAGAATAGAACTGAGATGTTGAAATGGTAAATTTAGGTTTATACCACATAACAGCTTCAGTTAAAATTATATAAGTAGGGACACCAATTTACTTCTGGTTATGTCATGACAGCTCACTTAGAACTGTTTTCTGGACTTGATGAAAAGGACCCTCAAAATTTTCTGGGAGCAAAGAAGACAATGTGACTCGAAACTTGAAATTCATATTTAATGATGTCAATCCTATTTGCACTCTCTGATGGGCCCAACTGAACACCAGAATTAAAAGTCTGGTCCAAAACCCAGCTCTGAGTTTTGCACTCTGCAGTGAGCTCGTTACACCATAACATTAAGAAATCTGCACAGAGCTGGTAACAGCTCTGGTATTGGAAGTGGGTTAACCATGGCCCTCTGGCACCCTGCTGTGCCTAGATTAGTCTCTCCAGCTTGCTAAAAGGACTAGCTAGTTCCTGGCAAGGCTATATTGTGCTTCCAGTACTGCAGCTTTGCTACTACCTTAAACTATTAAGCCTTGCAGGTATTACAAGACATAAGCGCTACTGGAGCCCTCCAATTCTTACTGTACTAAATTAGAGATGCAATGTACCAGCCAGAGCTCGATATTACAGACATCACTGATTCTTTTGTGATGGTACCAAGAGCGTGTTGTTTTCCAGTGCAGTGAAACCAGCAGCTTCAAATGACAAATATAAATGCCACCTATAAAATGCTATAAAATGTGTTAAAAGTGACATATGATATAGACGGAGATGAGGGAAATGGGTATGGATGAACCCAGAGACGAGTTGGTTTGAACTCTGTGGTTCTTTTTTAAAAGCAGATCATACAGCCCTGTTTCTTCTGTAGTTGCGTATGTTACTAGAGTGGGGGGTTCTGTGTAGATTTTTTTTACGAGAAGATAAAAACTGAATAGATATCAAAGAGCATAAATAAAGCTAACACAGTAGCACTGGAGTGGCACGACTAATAGATATGGTCTGCAGGTCTCATGCAAAATGATAAAGACAACACATCACCAAGCAGGCAGCATTACTTGATGGCTTAAAATCACTCCTATCAATTATTACCAATCCTATGACTCACATGGAACACACTAATTAAAGCAGATTTAATGATACACTATTTTACTTGAGTTTTCCAGGGTACATCAACATGTTTTTTAGGACAGGAATCCCATCCAACTGCACACAGTTTCTGCTTGGAACTTATCTCCTCATCCAAAATGTTTCACATATCCATTGCAACTGGAACTCACCCAGCTGTGTTTCAGGTATACTGGTTGTGAAGCTTGATCAAGATTCAAGTTCTCTGAAGAGCATCGATATCAACAACATGCCCTTGCCTGACCAGCAGTGAGGAGTCTTCCCTTTTCTGCTCATTTGTCATGGTGTCGAGCACTGCTAGGAAAGCAGCAAAGCAGTGGGACAACAGAGAGCAGCACACTACCTGTTACAGTACACAAGCCTTGGAAACCAGGAATAAAAAGAACAGGGCAGGAGCAAGAGCAAAAGTTCAATTGCAGGTTGAAGCATCTGGCTGCAGAGAAGAGCCGAGAGGTTGTAGAAGGCTGGCTGGAACAGATGAGAAAAACCCATCAGAAATGGAAGGTAAGCAGGTTCCTATACACCTCCCATGTGGTGTCATTCTGTTACTCACAAGTAAGAACAATTCTGTCTTGCTCTGAATAATAACTCTGCTCAATTACAAGGTCTGCATAGACATCCCTTGGCTAGTTCATCAAACGAGCACAAACCTACATGAAAGGGATTTTCCACATGTGAGAGGAAATCCAGAGAAAATGTGTGATTGGTTTTTGTAATCACCTTCTCTTCCAGAAGTCTTCCAGGCATTGACAGAATAGTCAAAATGATTAAAAAAAGGAAATAAAGAACCCCCCAATCAAACAGCCAGCCTTTGCTCAACGGCAACTACTGCAGTTACTCTCATGTACCAGTGCGGAAGCAATGCTAAAGCATAAACAGCCACTCGAAATGATGGGAGATTTTACAAGGCTAGAATGCCACAGAAAGACCAGTAAGTATCGTCCTGGTTTGCCATGCAAAGAGTCAAACTGCATTTGGATTGCTGCAGCCCCAACTGTTGTTTCTGAGGTTTCTCTAGAAGACAGTCCACTACACTTATATTTGATTATCACCTGACAAATACAGTAATACCTGGGGACATGTTCATTTTCTGAATTCCTCTGATGGTGTTCTGATATCCACAACTTCCTCCCTGAAAGAGCATACAACCAGAGCATGATACAGCAATTGCCTTCTCACTGGAGACCAGACAAGGAATGGCCATAAAGAGAACTCACTGGATTATCTTTGCAACCTGCTTTTTCAGGCTGAGTTTTATGTCTGTTTATTAGGTTTTTAAAATTTACATGTATAATTTCCCTTAAAAATGTTATTCTTGGTTTATGCAGGTTTGTACCAGCAGCCTTTTTTCTCCTTTCCAACCTCACTGTTCCAGGAGGACTTTTAAATTAACACCCCCCAGGACTGTAACGTAGAGCCTGAAGCCATTGTGCAAATCCAAAAATGAGCATCGATTCTGCTCTCACCTACCGAACAGTTGACGAGAAATTTGCAAGTCCACAAGTGTCGTTATTTCTATTCAGGTCAGTACAGTACTGTTTAACAAGCAAGAATTCACTATAATCCTGTTTTTCCCAAAAGAGTAGGCCACCTTTTACAACTTCTAGGCAAAGAAATAAACTTTCATTGACTCTGTAATGAATTAATGGGAGTTTTATCTGCATGAGGCCTGACCTGCTGCAGGACTGTCAACCAGTAACTTAAAGAAGCTTTGTGTATCTGTATTTATGCACCTAAGTAAGCAGACTAAATATTATGCAGAACTTCTGGAGTCTGTTTCTAAAAGAGATGATCCTTGTGCGCAAGATGCACAAGGCAGAAGGATTGCACAGGCAATCCTCTGGCATTAATGTTGCCCAGTGTTTTCCAGTTTACAGGACCAGGCTCCCCAGTTCCAGAGCTCAGCAAAACTGCTGACATAGTCAGCTGACACATTTCAAAGATCAGGTGGTGAAACAAGAGGTCATAGCAGAAGCAGTTACTATAAAGACAAGCCAGGGAAATGTTTCCATCTCATTTATCTATTCCCTGCGTCTAAACATTAAATGCTGTTACCGATCAGAGAAGGTTTTAATTTCCTTCTGTCCTCCTCTGCAGTTTACCTACTGTTCAAACAATGATGTTACGCCATTTACCTAATGCCACAATCTGAGGCCCCTATAGCTTCGCTGCCTTCCCCTCCTAAGGCTTTCTGGAAGGCTTCTCCTAGGGTGAGGCATGTGTACAGTCACCACATGGAACACGTTTACTACCTTGGCCCGTCAAGTACTGGACCCACACTTGATGCAAATCTGCTAGGCTTCTTAACATTGCAAGCCGTCTATGCCATAATGGAGTGTCCACGTGGAGACAGCTTCTTCTCGCCCAGTCATGTTGGTCTCTCACTATTATACCTTTATGTACGTACTTCTTAGACATATCAAAAGGATGGTAATTACGTGGGCTGGGGGACTGTATAAAGCCAGGAATTCATTTAACCAGAAAACCAGTTCTATTAGTGTTCTGTTTTTATGAGCACATCTTAGGCAGAGCAACATTTCAATTTATTGTTTTGGTTAGAAAAGACTGCTTATTAATGCCAATTTTGCTTCAAGGCTCTGAATTAAAAACAAATCACTCATTTTTTCCTCTTTCTAATCCTTGAAGTTTCAAGATGCAAGTGGCTTATAAGAAGCCATTCCAAACCCAAGAACAGTTTGAGGAATAACATATAACAAAGTTTCTCGCAGACAACTTTTTTTACTCCAGGCAGCTGCTGCAGAAATTAACTTTAAATCTTGGTTTCATACAGAGGATCACATTTTGAGCTGAAACTTAAAAGACTTGTTCTCTTATAATCTTTGGGGATGGCTGCATTTTATAATAGCATACCAAGAGAGAACCGGCTCACAAACAAATGTTGCAACAGAGAATTGAAAACAGAACTTAAAATATCCTTTTAATATCACCGAAGATAACATGTTTCAAAATGGCAATAGCAAAGATGGTTTTAGTATCATAAATAGGTCTACACTGATACCCACACTTCTGGAATTAACACTATTCAAAAAGAAATTCAGAAAAAAAAATGAAATCTGTGCATTCACGTAAGACAAAAAGTATATTATATATTATATATTTTATATATAATGTTACATTACATTACATTACATTATATTACATTACTTTACATTATATTATATTCATTCCTTCTTGGTGCTATTGGTAGAGTGACAGGGTGTTCTGACTGCATGTCATGGAAGCCAGGCTGAAAGTTATCTTGGTTCAGTAAAAAAATTTTGTGCAGCTCATAAAAAAATCATACATTAACATAAATTTGTACCTGAATATTGGGATTCTGCCCATTGATCTCTGCTTTTGACAGGTCAGGGAAGTTTGGGAGATCCAGGAGGAAAGATCTGGGTCCATCTCTTTGCAAGGACGTATGCCCGATTTCTTGCCTGAATCGCTGTTTAGGGAACGGCTGGTGGGCAGCCTGGAGATCAGGGTATTCTCTTCTGTCCTCGGGATTCAGGGTGAAGCTGTTGTCTTCAGGAGCATGGTCATCCGCAGTGACTGTGTTCTGGGGGGAAAAAGCAACGCACTATAACAACAACTGGCAGAGCACGCAGTCCTGCCAGTGCCCCGGTCTCCAGCTCGCTGCCAATGATGGCTGCAGAGTGCACACAGAAACCCTTTCAGCACACAGACCCATGGCTCATTACCGCAACACACATGATTTACAACTAGTATTTTCTAGGGTGCTCACAAGTTTGGCACCTGACTCTCACTGAAATACACTTGGTTCCAGTGGTGCAAGTCTGTAACCATCTGACACAACATAAAGCTTGGGTGCTTAGCTCTATCAAGTTCCCGTGACATTCCAGTCCTGCAGTGAACACCTACTTGCATTGACACAAGCATCTAACTCAAAGCAAATCTGGAAACAAAGCTCTGAAGAAAGGTCTGGCAAATGAAATTATACTACATTAAACATGTCCCTAAAATGGTGAAAGGTATCTTTACTATAAATTGATATAGTTTGCTTTGCTCCAAAGTGGAGTGAAAACAATGACTGCTAAGTTCATATTGAAATTTATGGTATCAAAAGATCCTACTGCTGAACTTGCAACCTCCCCCTCTCTCTCCTCAGCCTGCAAAAACTTCCATCTTGTCATCTGTTTTCCTCACCCAGTTTCTCTGGTCTTGAACATCTGAACCTTCCTTCCTCTGGGATCTCATTTTCATGTTTGCCTAATGGTGGGATTGAATTTCACCAAGTTGTGGGTCAGCGGTTAATGTTTTTGTTATTGTTGAGCGTACTTTCGGGTTTTGTAGTACACTACAGCAGGCTGCCCTCAAACCAGTAGCACTGCTGCCACTGCCTTTGACCCTCACCAAAGAGATACATTTAGTATCAAAACACTGGCTCCCCGGGGCTAGGACTGTTCCGGGGACTCGGGCGGGGTGGGGATAAAAAGGCAGAGAAGTCCAACCTTCTTACGGCTACCAAAAAAAAAAAATGCATGGAGCAGATTCGGTGCAGGTTTTGCTTTTGACTCAGCTGAAAAATTTTAGGCTTGAGGTCTCAGTATGACTGCCTGGAGAGCTTTTATTTTCTGTTCATAAAGAGACAGCAAGCATGGAGAGGGTAAATGTTAAAGACCTATCTTTTAAAACAAGCACAATTAAAGTGGAATGGCCACATGGGGTTCTGGCTCTACTGAAGCATATTTTTGCCAGCATTTCTGGTTAAACGCAATCTCCGTCCAGCTCTCCTGGCTCAAATTAAGCTAGCATACCTTTTGTTAAGCTCTCAGATAGATAACAGTTCCAATGCCTTTTATTTCGTGTTTATTTGCTTAGAAGGTTCTAAATTGACCTTTTTAGAGATTTTACAATACAATCTGTACACATTACAGGAAATATCCAGTGAGTTAAATAAACCAAGATTTAAGAGTTAATCTGGGACTATGTGAAATTGTCTCAAGCAAAAACTAAGGTGGTTCTCCTCTTCCCTGCTTGCCGCACTGCATTTATAAAGAGCAAAATCAGATTTAGCAGAATTAATGTTGTCTTGCTATTTTCATGATCAGAGTGGTTACACTCTGAAAGCGCTGAAAGGGTACTGTTATACATCTATCTATAGCACAGATGCAAGAAGTTCATTCTGAATGAGTGTACACGTGTAGTGCTAAAATGTACGTGCTCCTGACTGTATTGCTTGAAGCCTAAAACAAGAATGCTTCTCTCTGTTGAAGGCCAGGTAGGACTTTCAGGTGCCTTTGGTGGGCCACCCGTTAACAAACACCTTATTCAATTTAAAGCAGAAAGCAAACGACACAGGAGCAAGCTCTGGGAAACAAAATTTAGGGCCACTTAGCCAACTTTAGGTTCCTTACCCATAGGCTAGTGTTTCAAATTAACACTTCTCAAACAGAAATTAACTGCAAATTTCTTGGTGTATGAGGATTAAATAGCTTTTCAGGCATGTCTGACTAACAAGGTGTAATTGTGCTGTTATTAAATTACTTCAGAGAGGAACCAAAAAAATGTGGGACTTAACTACTTTTTTTCTGGGGTATCATGCCCATAATCTTACCTTTATTAAAAATAAAGTGAGATTTTATTAAAAAGTAATAAAATTCTCACATACAATTTCACACTTTCCCTATCAGCTTGCCACTTCAGGAGCATCCTGATTCTCCACATTAACACACCACACAGCTAGAGCTGGCCAAGGACCTGAGAGACCTACATTTAATTCTCTGATAAAACTCGCTGTGTGATCTTGGCAGGTCATGGTTGGTCTGTGCCTCGGTGGGGATAACTGCACTTCCCTTCCTCACTGTGATGTTTGCGCGGAGCTCAGCAACTACAATAATAGGGGCTATATAAAAACTTTTTAATAGTGTCAGACAGATGGAATATCACATGGAGTTAGTTAGAAAATTGTCATGGTGAAATAATGACATCAGGCTGATCGGGCCCACTACCAAGCTGCTTGGGGCAGGGACTGTCATTAATTACAGACTGAATGAGTTGGGGTTAACGTTAAAAAGAAAAATGGAGGGGGGGCCATGATAACTGCCCTATACCAAAGGCTGTTGCGGCGCAGAGGGAGATGGACCGCTCTGCATGCTCGACATGACCAGAAGACCCCGATTCAGCACTAGGTACACAGTTCTAATGGCAATGACAGCCAAGCTCAAAAGCAGAATTCGGGGGGGTACATGTGGAGTTTGTCTTTGAGAGCAGCGTTGACTAACGCCTGGCAGGAATAACACAGGTTAAACAGTGTGTCCTCTGCCTAAACCGCAGTGCTACCTCTTGCAGTCCCTTTCATGCTAGGACAAGCCCACACTGTGCCTCCTCGGGGCTTCTGTGTCATATTGCAACACAAGCAAACACAAAGGCTCAATATGCATCATCAGTTATCTGCTCATATTACCATGAGCAAAAGACCATTTGTTTCCAGTTACTAAAATGAACAGAAAGCTATTTTTTTAGGGAGATAATTCTTGCTGTAGTGTTTAAGCTGATCTGCAGTATTATTAGAAATGTGTATTTCTCGTAAAAAGACAAAAGAGGCCACCATCAACAAAAAGTGAGATTGAACTGCATGTGAAGAGAAGAATATGGGCTCACTCTGTTCTACTGCATTAACTCAGGCAAAGGGTCTTCCAAGGCCAATCTAGCAGGAAAAAGTGTGTCCTTATTGCAATGCCAGCATTCTTTCTGAGGAAAACAGGGTTGTGTTCCAAAGCTAACAGATGAAATTTAATTTCTTTTGGTGTTTGTGTGGGAATATTCTTCTTTTCTTATTCCTACAGAATTTCACATTTTTGTACACGATTTATTTTTAGGTGTACACAATTTATATTCCTGATTGCTTTTGGGAAAACAGTGCTACTTGCCTTCCTTTAAAAGCTATGTCACTTCATTCTGAGCTACTGACTCAGTTTCTTTGAAGTTATGACATTTCTAATTCAGGCACATTGGTTTCTTACTCAAATGATGCATCTGTTCTAAATATTTTAAGATAAATCACTTTTTTTCTTTCATTTAGCAGGATTAACAACTTTTAAACTTTCCCTTAAGATGATTTTTGAGGGGTTACTCATGCGTGCTGTGAGCTACAGTTTTGCTGCCCCATGGGATCAGATATTTATAGAAGTTCCTAATAGAAAACCAGCTTAGGATTTCTGAGTGTTTTAAGTGTGGTCAGTATATAACCGCAGGAACACTGTGTGACAAGGCGCTGAAATAAACCCGAGAGAATCTGCCATATTGTTTGTATTACAGAATAACACACCTTGCCACACTCACCACTGAAAAAGGGAGGGCAATAGTCCAGTGCATATCAATGTCTTTGTATCTGTCTATAAATGAGGGAAGAAGAGCCATTATTTTGTGAGGATAACTTTAAATGCTGGTGATCCAAGTGCGACTTGCACCATCGCAAGGTTTAAGGCACCAAGAGACAACCCTGCATGCAGGAAAAATTTCCTACCTGATAGTGCAGTTTAACTTTTCAATAATCAAATGGGTATTTTAACTCCCTGAGTTGCCTTCCTATTTTGTTTCTCCCTCTGTCACATTAGACATTAGCTGCAGGGAAGTGTACCATTTTGCTTTCCCACTGAGAAATTAAACAGAAATGGGAACTTGTAAAAATATCAAACTAGGGAAAAAATGAGAATTTCTCTGCATTTTTAGCAGGTGAGGAATCCATCTCCCTCCTCTCTCCCTTATTTTAATACCATTTCCAGTTCTGGGAGAACAACCAAGACAGAAAATAAGTGAGGAATGCCTGGAGCTACAGAAAATATTCTGGAGGAGCTGCTCTTTCTCTGTCCTTCATACTACTTACCTTCCTTCATTCCTTCCCCACTTGCCAAACTAAGGGCACATTTGCAAGCACTGCTAATTAGGGAGCTGGAAGAATTTGGGAAAACTGATGCAACTTATATCCCTAACAGGTCACAGACAGCAAGGGAATCTATTACTAAATGCCTGCTGCACCTACATTGCTTTTTTATTTCTTGTATACTCCTTTGAAATATCTTGTAAAATGATCTTGACAAGAGGTCTTGAATTGAAAACCAACAGTCTGTCAATGCACTTTCATGATGCACCTGTACAGCATCTTCAACCACCAGGAACAAGGAACGTTTATTTGTTAGGAAACTTCACAGACGCTATAAAAGATTATATTGCTATCAGAGACAAAATGAGGCCTGGGGCCTTCACAGAAAACCATTATAGCCATTAGGACTGGTTTCATTTCCCACCTGCCTAAACAGATTGTTTTGATTTTGAAGGCTGTCATGTGTTTCCAGGTTAGCGCTAAATGATTACTTTAAAATTAACCAGTCTGGGGAGGCTGACTAACACACCCGGGATACTACACGAGACTTTCACCTCTGTAGATCCAAGATTTGTAATGAACTTGGGTGATCTAATTCCCAGGTTTTAATATTATTTTTCTATCATGAGTATAAACAGTACAGGACCTAGCAGAAAGAGGTATGAGGACAGTGTTAGATAAGCAGACACTGAAGACAGCAGCTGAAAAGCATTATCAGAGATATACCGAGAAAACTTTCCTTTATGATTAATGACACATACAGTCCAGGCAGTCAGAATACCCTTGTTCTGTTCTTAGCTCTGTCTTGGCTTTCTCATTTAACAGGCAAATCACCTGGGTTCATATTTAATTTCTGTGTGACTATCTGAAAGCATGCGGTGGTACTGAGCCTCACAGCTCCAGTTCGCTCCAAGGAGTCAGTGATGGTCTGCATCTCCAGAAGCAGTCAGACCAGAGGGGTGTCACATCAACCACTCGGCTACTGAGACTCTCATTTTTTCTTAAAATGTGCTTGTCCTTCATGTTCACATATATCAATGAAGTGACAGGCCTTACTTATCTTTAGAAAGCCACACAAATTAATTGTTGCAATAATTAATAGCATGTTTTAGATAATCACTATTCATAAATCACTTAAAATGGACTACACTGGCTTGCATGTACACAATTGTTTTCACTACGGGGCTCCAAAATATAGGATCTGCTTTAAACATTGTGTAAATAGAAGATGAATCACTGATTAGTTGGCAATCAAAAATTTATAACAGTAGAGTTCTGCTTATCAGGGCCTATTTTTCAATAATTCTCTATTTAGTCCAGCAAAATTAGTAAAATGACATTGAATCCAGTTCTTTCTAACTTGCAGTACAACTGCATG